TTTCCTTTCTCCTACTTTAGGCCTATTGGGTGTGATTTCAATAATGTATGTACAGAGAGTAAGAAAAAGATACACTTGGAAGTATATAGCTATACAGATGAGCCTTTCCTGAGGTCTTGATTGCAGGCTGCTGTCCCTTTTGTGTTGGAATTAAGTACCCTGTCCATTCTGTTCTTTTGTTTATTTTTGGAACTGTTTTAGGGGAGCTGAATGAGCGCTCAACTTCAAGCTTGTACTTTAAAAACAACACAGTTCCCATGCCTTTTTGGAGTAAGTATGGCCAATATAATATATAGTTTTTCTTCCCAAACTCACACTTAATTACTGTGTGACTTGCCACATTTTTTTTCTTTTCTTTTTTTAAAAGTAATTAGTTTTATTTTTACATTTAAGGTATACAATATAAGGACATTCATCACTGTAAATTTGTACCTTTACATAATCCATTTTGGTTCTTATTTTCCCCATTGTCCTGCCCTCCCTTCAACCCCTCCCTCCCTCCCTATCTACAAAGGCTTTGATTCTATTTTTTTTCTTTTTATCATGTTAATTCCATTCCCATCTTTCTTTTCCCTTAACCCTCCCATTTGCCTTTCCCCTTTACACCCTTTCTTCCTATTTCACATTATTTATTACACCTTTTAGTCCTTAATTATACTTTCAGTTTTTCACACTAGAGAAACTTTGGTATTTACACACACAAGTGTCTTATTTATTTCACTAAAGAGTATCACCTCAATGTGCATCCATTTAGCTATAAATGTCTCTAGTTTCTCATTCTTTATGGCTGAGTAGTACTCCATTTTCTAAATTTTAAAAATGACACATTTTCTTTATCCAGTCTCCTGTTGATGAGCATCTGGGCTGCTTCCAAATTTTATCTATCATGAATTGTGCTGCTATGAACATAGGTGCACATATATCACTATGATCTGATTCTTTTAATTCTTTGAAGAAGATACCCAGCAAGGGTATAGCAGGGTCAAACAGGACCTCCATTCCTAGTTTTTTGAAGTATCTCCATACTGATTATAATGGAACAGGGTTCCTCTTTCCCTGCAGCATTTCCAGTAGCACTTGTCATTGGTTGATTTCATGATAGCAGCCATTCTTTCTGGGGTGAGGTGGAATCTCAGTGTTGTTTTCATCTGCATCTCTCGAGTGACCAGTGATGTTGAGCATTTTTTCATATGTTTATTTGTTATTTCTACTTCTTTGTCTAAGAAATGTCTGTTAATATCAGATGCCCATTTTTGGATTGGGGTTTTAAATTTGGGAGGTCTGATTTTTTTTAATGTTCTAGATAGTAGACCTTTGTCTGAGGAAGAGCTGGTGAAAAGTTTTTCCCACATTGTGGGTTGTCTCTTCACATTATTGATTGTTTCTCTTGCTGTGCAGAAGCTTTTTAATAAGAAGACATCCCACTTGTTGATTGTGCTAGTTCATGGGCAACTGAGGTTTTGTTCATAAAATCTCTTACTACACCAATATCTTCAAGCATTCTACCGAACCTCTCCTTCAGCTGGTTTAGTGTTTCTGTTTTAATATTTATATCTTTAATCCATTTTGATTTTAGTTTAGTGCATGTTGAGAGGTATAGGTCTAGTTTTAATCTTTGGCAAGTTGCAACCCAGTTTTTCCAACAGCATTTATTAAAGAGGCTATCTTTTCTCCAGTGGGGGTGTTTGGCTCCTCTGTCAATGATGAGGTGGCTGAGTTTGTCTGGAGTTGTTTCTGCATCTTCTAATCTGTTCCACTGGTCCACTGGTCTATTTGCAAGTGCCATGCCATTTTTAGCATAGTAGCTTTGTATTATAGTTTCAAGTTGGGGATTGTGATACCCCCTACCTTGTCTTTATTGCTTTTCTGTGTCTCTTCTTGTTCCAAATGAAGTTTTGGGTTGTTTTCTCAAGGTCTGTGAAGTATGCTGTGGGATTTCAATTGGGATTGCATTGAATCTATATAGCAGTTTTGGAAGTATTGGCCACATTTTTTCTCATCTTGTTTTCCTCAGCTGAAAAATGATAGAATAGAATATACATATAAATATATATTTTCATGATTAAATGAAGTATTAAAAATATATAGATAATATTTCTTGACTGTATACAGTACTCTGTTCCCTTCCTTAAGTATTTTATATTTTATATGTTGTAAGTGTTAATATGTACTAACTTACATTTACCTGTAGAAATTTTTTTCTCCGTTTAAAAATGAGTAAATCGTGGCATGGAGTAGTTACAATAACTTTCCCAATTCACACATTTGGAAAGTTAGGAAAATGAGATTTTGATTTAATTCCAGGCCTATGCCTGGATCACTATGCCCTTTGTGTTTTTATAGTGTGCAAATATAGTGGTAAATGATAGCATTTGTTCATCCTGATTTCTCCTTAAAATTTCTAATCTAAAATAGCATATTGTAGCAACTAACATCCTAGTATATATGATATATTCACTAAATACTTACTGATAGACTAATTGCTAAAACAGAATGGTAGGTGTCTGTATAGAACTACCTAGTACTGGATTTGCATAGTACTGCTTGCTGCCGCTTCACCTGCATAGTCGCTTCAGGGACTACACCTGACCAATTTAAGTATTGAAGGCTTGATAGTGATTGGGGTCAGGTGCTTTTTCCCACCTTTCTTGTTTATACAAAGCTCACATGTGTGCAAGCTCAGTCGGAAATGGGACTTTGTTCATCGTCTTTGTCTCCTCGTGGCTAGTACTTAGCAGAAATCTAAATGGTATTAATGAAAAGAATGATAGTGGTTCAGTGATCATAAAGCACTGCTTTGTTCATACTTGCAGTCTCAATACAGACCCTCCCACTGTTTGGCTCTGCCTATTTCCCTGTCAGAAGCCCCACAGCCCCATCCTCCATGGCCTCTGGGGCCTCATGTCCTAGTTCTAATGCCAACTTGCCTCTACTTGATATGTTAAACTGCGCAGTCTTTCACTAAAATGATCCTGCTAGACTGGTACTAATTGGACTTAGGTTTTAGTTGTTTTCTCATAATGAGAATGGACTTTCATTGATTTACCAGTACTAACATTTTAAGTACTCCTTAGTATTTTTGGCCAATTTTCACATTAATGAAAGAAAATCCTGTTTAGCTGGCATGTTAATATACGAGTCGATTTTTTTATTTTTTTTTGTTTTTTACAAAAAAAAATCTACTGGCAAATCTAATTTACATTTTATGTGAAGAAGGGTCCTTTTTAATATTTAAAACTTGGTTTTCCTGTCATATAAATATGTTTTTATCATATGAAGAGGAAAAAATATTGTATTATTTAACATCTACTAGGTCTAACACTAGGGAAATAATTTTTATTTGTTACTGTATATGATCTTAAAAACAATTTTGACAGGAGACAGACTTTAATGTCAGGATCTGGGTATGAGTAATCTTTTGGCCCCACTTGCTGAATGACCATGGAGAAATCTCCAGCCTCTCTAAACTTTTTTTACATGTAAACATATGATAATATCTTATGGTATGTAGTCAGAGTAGGATTTTATTGCTTCCTTCCCAAATACAAAAGTAACAGTCAAACAGGAATCAAAGTAGTGCAAGTGTCATTAGCCATGAAGCACTTGAAACCATTTGAAGTCACGGAAATCATCTCCTGTCATATGTTTTCATGCAATGATTTTAACAAGTATCAACAACTTTGACATACAGACAAAAATTAGGAATAAACTAGTTGCATTTCATATTGGACAATGAGATGCTATAGTAAAACAGTTTGATAGGAAGAAAATACTTATCAAAGTTCTACAAATTATGATAGAAATAATTATATAATTATTGTAGTATACTAGTAGTGTTTAGTATTCTGTGTTTCTCTTTTCTGACTAGCAATAAACGGGAAATTTATTGTAGACTGGTTAAATAAATAACATATTTCAGATCAAAATGCTTGTTTATATTTTCTTAAAATTGAAGTTTATTTCATTCTTGAAGCAAAATTTCTGATTTTAGATTTTCCTCTAAAGAATCGTATCTATCTGTATTGCCAGTAATAAATACAGTGCCACAAATGTAATACCACAGTAACAAACAATTACCAGTGGCTTGGGCAAGGTTGTAGTTTTCACTCATGCTACTCGTACTACCATGAGCTGTGGGGTTATTTGCCTCTGCTTGGTCCTGTCTCATAGACCTAGGCCAAGAGAATTTCCATCTCCGTGCTTCTGTAGTTGCAGGAACAGAGATAAAAGCAATGGGAAATTGAGCACTGGCTGTTATTGCTGCTATAAGACAATGAGACTGCTATAAGACTTTTCACATTTTATTGGCCAAGTAAGTTCTAATGGCCATGCCTAATTTCAAAGTGATCAGGTCTTTCTAGATAGAGAGAGGTGGAGGAGTTGAAGGGAGGATAGGAGAATGGGGAAAAAATAAGAACCAAGATGGATCATGTAAAGGTGCAAGTTTCCAATGATGAATGTCATTGCATTGTATACCTTAAATGTACCAATAAAATTAATTTTAAAAAGTGATCAGATACAGGGCACTCCTATTTGGCTGGAAGTCAGAGAGACGGAAGTACTTTTTAAACCACTAACAATTTCTGCACAAAGTGTCCTATTATTTATTTTTCATACAAAGACCACAAAAGTAGTATGTAGGAGATGACAATTATAAATCTGTTAGACCAAAAATTTATATTTCTTCTACGATATGTCATAACACAACATGAAAACAAGAAAGTTACCTTCTAACAAATTCAGTTTACTCACTGAACAAACAAATGCTATTTCTCCTATTTGACAATATTGAGTAAATGTTTTTACTTTTGTGAGGGGTTAAAAGTTAGAGTTCTTTGGATGAATAAATGAGAGTTAGGAGAAGTGAGATGCCTGGATAGTTTATAGAAAATGGTATTTATGTGAATTGTCAGAAATGGTGTGTTTGTGTCGCTTATAAGACGCTGCTTGAATATTATTTTAGAATACTGAATAAGGAAAGCTGTGTTTTCTTCCCTTAGGAAAATATCAACATTGATGAAGCCTCCAGATGCCTAGTGAAGCACATACTTGCAAACGAATGTGACCTAATGGAGTCCATAGAACCAGACATCATAAAGCCGCATCTCTCGTCACCCAAGGTTGTCAGCTGCTCCAGCTGTGCCAGACCCTAGTAGGCTCCTCTGCGGGCGTGTGGCAGAAACAAGCCCATAACTCCATGAATTGTGCCTCACTTTTTACCATTTTGGGTAAATGTCAAAATAGGGAAACATGACAAGCCAAAGATCCCTGCCTAAATTTTTCCTGTAAGAAAGATACAGCAAATGTTCTTTTTATGTCTTCCATACCATCAGCATGGGAGTTACAAGCTTTTAAAATACCTAGTTTGTTACAAAACTCTGTTGTGTTGCTGAGCAAATTTTTGAAGGGTTAGTGCCCCGGTATTTGCTCCTTTTAAATCAGCAAAGGCCTTGGAACTTAAAGAGAACAGGGGACAGAGCAAACGAGCTGTCAAGTTAAGCACTGGTATTTGCCTTGTCCTGGTGTGTGTCTTTGTTCAGATTTCAATACATTCTATGCTGGTCTGACAGGCCTATTAAATAGAAATGGTATTTTCTCCAGAGATGACCCCCATTCCTGGAAGACCTAAGAGTTGTCTATGATTTAGCTCTTCCAAGTCATGTACATAGGCTTCCTATGCCTTTGTTGCCATCATTGTCACTTGGCATGCCCTGAATGTTGGTTTAACTGAACACAGTATCAAAAGAGCTGTCCCCTATACGTGCCTTTTTTGTTAACTTTCTCTGAACTGAGCTGTGGGATTCTTTTCTTCGTGTAAAATATATATATATATTCACAAGTGAAAAATAAAACATTAAAAGATGCTGTTTCCCTATTTCTGAAAGTGCTTTAAGTTTCTTAGTACTGTGATTTTTTTTCTCACAATGTAACTGTGCCTCTCAAGACCCATGTCTCAACTTTATTTCCAGAAAGAACATGAGAAATTGAAAGGAATCTATTCCATTTACATCTATTCTTTGTATCAGTATGTATGCCAAGAAAGTAAATAGTGTCCATACATTTTTTTCTTACTTAGAGGAATATATCCTTGCATATCCTGATCGGGAATGTGCCACAACAATTAGTGTTAAAAGAGACAACCAAAGTATGCATAACGATGCCTTGTTTTACCCAATGGCTGCGATATTATGTGCTGCAGTAAGCTAGTATTTTTAAGGGCATTATTTTCTACTGATATTCATAGTACCCTCCAGGGAGCTTTATCTTTTGTAACAGATAATTTCCAGTATTCTACTGATATAGTAGAATGTTGGCCTCCACTGTTTCTGTAAGCATTGACCACATGGTTTCCTATTCTAATACCCTGAGAGCACTCTCTGGTCCCTGGAGCAGCTTGCCCATGAGGTAGAGAGGTCAGATTGCCAGGGAGCTAATGTTAGGAGGGGTTAAAGGAAGAACACCTCACATTCCTTTTGCCTTAGAAAGGACAATTTCAGGAATACCCTGTGGACTTTTAGAGGTCCTAATGAGTTAAGTCCTTGGTACCCACAAAAGTTATCATCCTATATGAATTGATCTAAATTGGCTTCCTTTAATTTCTTCCCTTAACACCCTATTCATCTACTGATGCTTCTCAGTTCACTTTCCAAATAAGCTGCATTTATTCAAATCCTGTCTCAGGGTCTTGTTATGAGAGAACTCCTAGGAAACAAATTGTCATTATAAGCTTCCTGAATTGAATCATCCACCAGCCAGGTGATATCAAGGACTCCTTACTGATGATTAGTGTGGTAGAGCTATAGCACCATAATTACTAATACTCTCATCAGGTGGACAGAGTAAAGACACAAGGAAATGCTACTGCTATTGAGTTTGAAAGACCTGTTATTGTGGAATTAGTTACTTACTGTGGAGATCTTAAAGAACAAGACAAGTATGGGCAGTATTTTGGACAAGACTCAAAAGCACAGGCATAAAAGCAAAAATAGATTGATGAGATCACATCTGCTTAACAACAAGGAAAAAAAATCAAGAGAGTGAAAAGAAAACTTAAAAAATGGAAGAAAATATTTGCAAACTATTCATTGGACAAAAGATTAAAATCCAAAATAATTAATAAAGTCAAGAAAACCTCAAGCCCGTAAATTTAAATGGGCAAATGATATGAGTAAATGTTTCTTTAAAAATGAATATAAATGGTCAACTACTGCTTGAAAAAATGCTCAAACTATTTAACTACAGGGAAATGCAAATAAAAACCACCAAGAGACATCATTGGACCCAAGTCAGAATGGCATAAAAACAATAACAAATGCTGAGAAAGTTACAGAAAAAAAAAATTCTGTCATTGTAGGCAGAAAGGTAAATTAACAATTGAAACTCTAAGAATAGATCCAGCTATCACAGTTCTAGGTACGCATTCAAAGGAGATGAAACCACCATATGAAAGAAATAATACCTCCATGTTTATTGCAAAACTATTCACAATAGGCAAGATGTGGAATCAACTGAAGTGTCCATCAATGGATTAATTGATAAGGAAAATATATATACATATACACAATAGGCCACACACACACACACACATGCACACACACACATGCACATGCACATGTGCAGGCACACAAGAAATCTTGTGATTTGTGGCAAAAGGGATGAAACTGGAAAATATATTCAAATAAGCTAAATTCAGACAAATACTTCATAGTATCTGGAATGTAGAAAAAAAGTTTCTCTTAAAGTAGAAGAGTAGAGTAGTAATTATGAGATGCTAGGAAGGGTAAGGATGAAGAGAGGATTCAGGCAATTTTTTCAGTAAACTACCATTAGATAGGAAGTATCTGTTCTGTGTCCTGTAGCACAGTAGGGTCATTGTAATTTGCAATAAAATACGTATTTAATGAAGGGCTAGAAGAGATGAGCTTGGGTGTCCCAAACATAAAAACTCATAAAAGGAAAGAAGGAAAAGGAATAAATATGAGATAAGGCAAAAATGGAAACAAAATCTTTATAAATGGGCAGGAGTTGAAGGGAGGGCAGGGGAATAGGGGAAAAAAAAAGAACCAAGATATATCATGTAAAGATACAAATTTCCAATGATGAATGTCATCATATTGTCATCATATTGTACACCTAAAATGTACCAATAAACTTAAGAACTAAAAAAAATTCATAAGAGGAAAAAAACTCAATATACATTTATATGTATTGAAATATTATACAATATCCCATAAATACAAACTATATGCTATTTTAAGAAAAATGAATTTTAAAAGAACAAGAAACTAAAGGAGGGAAAAGTATGAATTCGTGTGAACCAACTCTTACTTTAGGGTACAGTGTGAAAGCTGAAGACCTCTAAGCAGCAATAAAAATGACCCTCATTTTCTTCAAATAGAGCATAAACCATGCTGTAAGTTGGGCCCAAGGTTTGACTTTTAAGAGATGCAAAGTTGTAACGGAACCTGAATTCACAGAGTGGTCAAGTGTCTTTCACAAATTTGGGAAATGAAAGAGACAGTAAAATATAGGATGAGATATGTGAACATTTATTTTTGAAAGTTTTGATCTCCTAGATTCTTTTGAAACTAGAAAAAAAATATGAGGCTTCATCCTTTCCACTGCAGAATGGCTAAATGTCCCATGAAAATACCATCTCAGAAGAGTGTTTTCAAGTATTGTTTGTCCTAGCAAAGTTCTGCTCTCATTCCCTGCCATTGGGTCTAGACAAATAATTGGGTCTAATTCTTGGCAGGATCTGGATGGGAAAAGATGATCTCTGTTGCAGGATGCAATATGTTCTTCATCAAATGAATCACAGAATCTGGTTAGTAGATACCAATAGTAATCTGGAAGACACTATGGAGAATTTCCTTTTTGGGACACTGGATCAAGGAGACAGAGTACAAGACTGTACAGTAGATAACTAGTTACAGGACGGCATTCTTTCATTTTAACATTTTGTCAGATGCACCTGTAGTTGATCTTACTATGCTAGTGAATATCTATTTGAAGCTTTCAAATAACTGTAGCCTAAAATAAATGATATATAGATGCTAGAAATACCTTGGCAAGTATTGGAGAAGAGATCCAAGCCTTCACAGAAATGGAGAAGTTACAATGTATTTATTTTGAAAGACCAGGGAACCTACTGGCTGATTAGTTTCCTGAGCTAAATCTAGAAGACACTCCCTTCACTAAAGCAATAAATAGTCTTCCAAAAAGGGAGACACAACATCAATGAGAAACTCAATGGTAGTTGTTTTTTTTCTTGTTAATCTATGTTTTATTATAATCATTTATTAAAATTATATGGCAGTTTAAAAAAACAAACACAATACAACAAATAACAAAAAACTGAAAGCATGTTTTATGTCTCTATCCCTTTGATACTTAGATAAAAGTCCATAAAGCAGGGAGGTGAAATGCCCATTTTGAACTGCTTTTCAAAATGTAAATGTCCTCAAAGAAACCTTGATTCTACAAACAATAAATATGTACATAACAATATCAACAATTGGTGGCTTATAGAATATATAGACCAGCGATGAGGTTGACAGAATCTATATAAATTTGCTAAAGTGAAACTTAAATTACTGCTTTCTATATTAACAAAAATATGAATAAGTGTAAAGCAGTTTCTTGATTGATTGCCACAGTATAATGAAGCAAGAATACCTCACTCTTAGGTTCTAAGAAGACTGAGAATTCTTATGGCTCTTCATTGTTCTAATTGAACTAGATTCACGTCATTTCAGAGTACATAACTTTGGAAAAGTAGAGTAATTATGAAATCTAGGTCAACTGAAGTAATAGTGTAAATTCAAGAGCTATTAATGTATCTATCCATAATTTATTTCTGTTTTCTAGAATAGTGTTTCAATGAATACAAAATGATGAGAAAAAAATATGCATTGTTCTTCACCTCAGAATAGTTGTTTTAAAATGATTTCACCTGTGGAGAGTGAGGCATCATTCACTCTGAAAGTCATCTACAGCCAAGATGAATTGGAGCATGAAAATTCCCAATGCCTAAGCAAGCTTATCACTTATGAACTGGATGTGCACAGATATTTGTGATGGTTGTTTTCTGTAGACAAGATTTCACATTCTAAAGATGTTGCTGTATTTTGATGGGAATAACCTTCACATGATAAGGCTAAATATTTCATAATAAAATGGTGTAAGTATATTCAGTGCCGTATTCTGGATATATAGGACCAAAAAGTGGAATTGAATTGACTCTGCTCACTTTTACTTTCAATAATTCACTTAAAAACTTCTTGGTTCAACTTTAGGTTCCACAGAATGAGTGGTTTTAATACAACTGTCAGGGAACTTAGTAAGGGTTTCACTAACTTTACCACTTCTGCTGCTGCCTGGTTACTTTTGGCAGCTCCTACTCATAGACCAGCTGTCAGAAAAGGTAGTTACTGCACAGGTAGGGGTCATTCATCCTGATGATAAGAGGGAGATAGGGATGCTGCTAAATAATGGACAAGGAGGAGGGGGTGAGTACGGTGCCTCTCAATGCTTCCATCCACGGGGATAACAGGGCCACGGTAGCAATGCCTTCTTAAGGGTAAGTAACTAGGGACTCAAATTCACAGGGATAAATGTCTGAGTTACTGTAGCATACAATGAAGCTAGTTTAGATGCAGTTAATTAAAGGAAATGGAAATTATAAGCAAGGAGAGAAGTGATGAATACCAATTAATATATCAGTTATGATTTCAAGACTAACAATGATGAGGGAGACTGGAGCTCATCTCACTCCTGCTCTAAGTATTCCTCCCCTCTCTCCCTTTCTCTGTTTCTCTCCTCTCTTTCTGGCATAATTCCAGGAA